TCGCACCAGCTTTTCAAACAGTTCGACCACGACATTGGCGAGACTGACTGGCCTATAATTGGCTGCCAGACTTCTGTCGCCATTTTTGAAGATAGGACAGATGACAGCCTCCTTCCATTCTGAAGGTACTATACAACGGTCAAATGACTTCTGAAACAATATCGATGGCGGTCCACATAGTTTCACCGCCAATTCAAACAGCAGCTTCGGATGCATTGGGTCAGGTCCGGCTGTTTTATTATGGTACAGTGCTCGCGACAGCCTAAGGAATTGCGTTTTCATCACAGTACATCCAGCTACATAACTACCCCCAGGTACGCTGGGGACAAGTTCAACGCTAACCAACGCGGCCTCACACACAAAAGCCCCTGCATAATGCTCACCAAGTACACGTGCCCTGTCCGAGTCCGCATACGGATGAGTTCTATCCGCCGGTAGCAAAGTTGGAAGTAGCGAATTTGAACCACAGTGTCTCTTAATATAAGTGAAAAACTTTTGAATTTTCCAATGCTCCATCAACCAATTCCTTTTCGTGCAACACCCTGCTTTCCTCAAGTGTTATTTACATCTATTTCTAGCCTCCCGGTACCTAACGTAGGTGCTAGTTGATGGTGCCGCACGGTAGGTCCTCCAGCAACTTGAACTCTTCTGGTGCAGGTAGGTTCTAGTGCTATCTATCCACGGGGGCAGTGCTCGTGTCTTTTTTCCCTCGCAAGCAGGCTGTAAAGTCTAGACACTTCCGTGAGATAAATTAGATTCATCCCAGGCCGCCTGAACCCTTTCGGCCACCGGGATTTCGCAGCGCAACCCAGAAGCCTTGATACGCCCTGTTTGATAGTTAGCATGCCATATGTTCGAATATGGTTCAGCGATGCTCTGGTGACGTCAGGTCAGAGTAGGCCTGAATGATAAACGAACATTATTACTGGTACCCAAGGGAGAGCTGTAAGTGCTGCCACCTACGAAGCCTAGTAAGTTGGTAAATGCTGAATCAAAAATGGACGGTAATTGAGTATTCATGTAACTAGTGGGTAAGTCCACGAACTGATGCAACTGTACTTGTAGTGTAAGCTCAAGAAGCTCGGCACCGAAAGTACTTCCGCCGAGGTACAAGCAAGATCTGCCCGGCAACCTTCTGGTAGATTAAATTCCCCAGTATCGAGAACATTTGAGGAGAAGAGCTTGTTTTGTGTCGAACCGTTTCCGATAACGCCGTTGGGTACCTCCAAAGCGCAGAACGAACTAAGCACACGCGAGCGCATGATCCGAAGTCAGGTAAGTGTTCCAAATTGACGCTGGCCGTTAAGCAGCTCTGTCTATGGTAACGAACAGCGATGTGATCGATTTGCGTTCAAGGTTGACCAGGCGCTGGAGACCGCCAGGAACGTCAGAAGCGAATAAAATCAAGCACCCTTTGAACGCAAGCCCAGCGATTCTATACACAATTACAAATCTAAGTTGAGCCGCTGAGGTGCTAATCACTGCCGAGAGTGCTCCGACAGTTTTATCTGCGGACTAAAGCATGTAGGTACTTAAAAAGTCAAGACAACAGTTAGCGTAACGTGAAACACCCCCGTCTTATAGGCCAACGAAGCGACTACATCTAAATCGTGCTGAGCCAGACACAAATCGTTCTGATCACAGAAACATGGCAATCCTCAAGCACCCCTGACAACAACTTAAATATCCCCGGGTACACCACGTTTTGCAATGGACGCAACAACCAACGCGGAGGAGGGTGCCTCATTTACTTAAGGGACGACTTTGGTGCCTCTGAATTTGAATTGTTACCAATTGGAGACCCAGAGGATTCAATCTGGATCCAGACCAATGGGGGTACACTTGACCTCCTTATTGGTTGCGTATACAATCCCCCACATGCCTCTAATACCAAGATTAAGGAACTAGTAAACCTCTTCAATGACGTCTCCACAATGTCCGCACGCTACAAGATTGTGGGTGGTGACTTTAATATGCCACATGTCTCTTGGAATGGCCAGAGTGCACCTCTCAAATACAGAGGCTTTGTTGACACGATATATACGAACAATTGGATTCAACACGTCCATGTTCCGACGAGGCTGTGTAATACTCTTGACCTAATTTTTACGCTCGGCATCTTGGATGCTGTTACTAGCATTAAAGACAACATCCCAGGAAGCGACCATAAGGTAGTTCATTTATCTTTTACGCTCTCTGTCTCATCCTATCGCTCAATTAGTCTAACTGGTGAATCGCGAATGTTTAAAAGCATTAACTGGGATAACTTTTCTCTGCTTGTCCGATCAGCTAACTGGGATACCTTCTTCTTGTCCACTGATGTGGACACAGCCACTCATGAACTCTACAACAACATCACCAATTGTCTAGACGTGGTCGCGCCGCTAATGCACAGCCGCAGGTCAAAACTGATAAAGCGTTCATCCCATCTAAACAAGGTGCTGATGAAGCTCCGGAAAATGCGTCACCAATACTCTAAGACGCACGATTTCCATATACTTGTTCGCATGAACAGAGTCATAGACAACTGGCAGCACTCTCAGGTAATGGTTAAGCTAGCTGAAGAGCGCGCCGCCTATAACAGCCACAATAAAACCAAGTCCCTCACTCAGCTATTGAAATATAGAAACAATCGCACAGCAGCATCCATCACCTCCCTAAGACTCTCTGATGAGTCCGTAATCAGCGATTGTAGCAGTCTGGAGATTCCCCGGTTTGCTTGTGTAAAATTCTAACCAAAATTCTTTAATTGTACACTTAGGCAACCGGTGTGGTTTGTTGAACTGATTGCTGAGTTCGAATGCTTTACTTGCTCATCGCCATTTTTGCTTGGCGCTCGCTTCGGTTGCAACGCGCGACTGCTCTGTGTGCTGTGCTTGATCCGTTCCCCTAGCTAGAGCGTCCACGGTGTCGTTCATTTATAGCTAGCTAACAGGGAATCTTTTGCTGAACCAATAAAAGTTTCCCTGCAACTCGATCCGTCTTCTGGAATCGCTCTCTGGGCTCCCGGAATAGGCAACCCTCTAAATTGGTGACCCCGGATCCGGAACAATCTCAACGCCGGATATTTCGAACTTTTCTCCGGTGAGCTCGTTCCATTTATTTTTCATATTTTCCGGTTTATTTTTGCATACGATAGCCTATTTTTCGCGTCATTTTTTCAAATCATGGAATCTGTAGACCATAAGGTAGAGTCTATGCTTAGTGTTGTATCTCTCTCAGTTCCACCTTTTTGGGACATGGATCCTGTTTTGTGGTTCGCTCTTCTTGAGGCCGAGTTTTATAACCACAGAATCACTTCCGACTACGCGAAGTACTGCAAGCTCCTGTCCTATCTCCCCAAGGAGATATCAACGCAGGTTCGTGACGTCATCATTTCTCAGACCGATAACCGCTATGAGGCTCTCAAGGAAGCCACGATTAAGCGTGTTATGCCCTCTGAGAAAGTTCGCCTGCAGCAGCTTTTCAGGGATCTGCAACTGGGCGACAAACTGCCCTCAACCCTGCTACGGGAGATGCAGCAACTCCTTGGTTCATCAACCATGGATGAGACTTTACTTCGCGAACTATGGCTACAACGGCTACCGGAAAACACACAAGCGATTCTCGCTACAGTGAGCTCCGTTTCGCTCACTCAACTAGCAGACTTAGCGGATCGAGTTATTGAACGATCACAGCCACAGGCCAACGCCAGCAAGGTCCATGCCGTCGCGTCCCAGGGCACTTCTATCACTGGCTTACAGTCAACTATAGAAGCCCTGCAAACACAAGTTGCGACACTTAGTCGCCAGGTGCAACAGCTTACTATGAACCGTCGTCGTCATAGCCGATCAAAATCGCCCTGCAAACGTTCTAAGTCTAGCAACAGGCAAGCTAGCTGTTGGTATCATCAGCGTTTTGGTACCGCAGCTCGTAAATGTGTAAAGCCTTGCAACTTCGCCGAGAAGCAGGGAAACCTCGGCCGGTCCGTAACGGCGACGGACGCGACTGGCCAACACCAAAGTCGCCTCATCCGCGTTAGGGATTTAACTTCCGGCACCGAGTTTCTAGTAGACACTGGTGCCGAAGTTAGCGTTATACCCCGTAGCTCAGATGAGGTCGTCTCACCATCGCCGACCAAGCTGCGTGCCGCCAATGGCACACCAATCGCAACTTTCGGCGAAAAGCTGCTAACGCTCAACTTAGGCCTCCGGCGAACTTTCGCTGGCCTTTCATAATCGCTGCTGTGCCTTTCGCCATCATAGGCATAGACTTTCTTCAACGCTTCGACCTCATCGTCGACGCTAAAAGGAAGAAGCTTATCGACTCTAGGACACAGCTCAGTGTTATCGGGACTAGCGCCAACGTGGCTGCTATCACTCCCATTCGTGTCCTACCTCAAGCTTCACAGCCTTTTCTAGAACTTTTCAGCAAGCACCCTAAACTCGTTCGCGTCCTGAACGACTTGCCTCCTGTGACGTCGAACGTCATGCATCACATTTGCACTAAGGGCCCACCTGTTTCGGCCCGCCCTCGCCGACTAGCCCCGGACAAGCTCAAAGCTGCGAAGGCGGAATTCGAGCAAATGCTCGAACTGGGAATCATCCGCCCGTCTAAAAGTCCATGGGCATCACCATTACACATGGTGCCGAAGAAGTCCGGTGACTGGCGCCCCTGTGGTGACTACAGGGCACTTAACAAAGTTACCGTCCCGGATAAATACCCTATCCCGCACATGCACGACTTGACCTCAGCTCTAGCTGGCAAGTCTATCTTCAGCAAAGTCGACTTAGTTCGCGCCTACCATCAGATACCTGTCGCGCCAGACGACATTGCTAAAACAGCAGTCATCACGCCATTTGGCCTATTCGAGTACCTCAGAATGCCTTTCGGCCTCAGCAACGCTGCCCAAACTTTTCAGCGTTTCATTCATGAGGTAACGCGAGGACTCGAAGGCGTTTATCCTTATCTAGATGACATTCTTATCGCCAGCTCTTCTGATGAGAACATCTTCGTCACCTCGACGCTCTCTTCCAACGCTTGACGCAGCATGGGGTTACCGTCAACCCCGATAAATGCGAGCTTGGCCAAAGTTCCATCGACTTTCTTGGCCACCGCATATCTGCCTCTGGTATTGAAGCTCTGCCAGACAAAATCCAGGCACTGAAGGACTATCCTGCTCCCAGTTCCTTCAAGCAGTTACGCCGATTCCTTGGCCTGGTTAACTATTATCGACGCTTTATTCCTAACTGCGCGAGCATTGTTCAACCAATGACTGACTTGCTCCGCGGTAAACAACGCTCTTTTCACTTTACAGACGACGCTAAATTGTCTTTCGAGAAGCTCAAAGACGCTATCTCCAACATAGCGCTTCTCGCCCATCCAGACACGTCTGCATCACTCTCTCTGACAACTGACGCATCAGACACTGCCGTCGGTGCAGTTCTTCAACAACTCATCGACCATCGATGGATACCTCTAGGTTTCTTCTCGAAAGCGCTTACAACCTGCCGAATCGCGATACAGCACCTTCGGTAGGGAACTGTTAGCTATCTACCTAGGTATCCGACATTTCCGTCACTACCTCGAAGGTCGACATTTCACCGTCTTCACCGACCACAAGCCATTGATCTACGCAATCAATGGCGCAACGGACAAGTACTCGCCGCGGGAAACTAGACACCTAGACTACGTTTCTCAGTTTACGACAGACGTACGACATGTCTCAGGTGCTCTCAATCCCGTCGCGGATGCGCTTTCACGCATTCAGCAGATCAGCTTAGCGCCTGGCACAAACATTGATCTAGCCGCCATGGCTGCTGCCCAACAAGCTGATCCCGACATAAGCAAGCCACGACGCAACACCACTGAGACGATCACCATTGATCGACTCAAGCCAGCATTCTTCGACAAGTCTGACTCGCCGGTGCAACAAGCACCTTCACAGCCTGTGCCATCACAGCTGGCACCGCAACCTCAGACGAGTCAGTCCGCTCCAGCAGAACCGACAACCACAACCGACAGCACTCCTACCCGCCCTACTCTCAAGCAACGCGGTAGGAAGCTCAAACCTAAGGTTCGTTTTTCAGACTTTGTCAGCACTTACTATTTTACGTAGAACGTGCCTTAGAAATTTTCTGCTCTTACTAAACGTTTTTAAAAACCCACAAAAAAAGATCAAAACGTTTTGAAATTACCAAAAAAGAGCAAAACCTATTGAAAACCCAAAAACAGCTTTGCACGTTTTTCGCTTTGCACTCTTTTGTGTATTGCTATGCATTTATGCTGCTTTTTCATTTGCTTTCATATACACCCCGTCGGTTGGTTGCCCCTCGGTTTCACTTTCCGCTGGATCTCCGCACGTCAACTGGAAGTTCAACAATCTTCCTGCTCAACTGCCTACGTGAACTTTATTAACTGTCCCCCCCTACAAACAGTTTTTTTACCGTTTCGACACCGTAGGGAGGACACGGGTGGGAGCCCGCTAGGGTCCGATTGCATGGTTCTCCCCCAGCAGCTGCATCGGGTTTCACAACCTGGTCTCGCAGAAGGCTGGCCCGCGACGGACAGTCCTCACGTAGATCGAAGGACTGCTTACACAGTCCCTTCTGGGAGAGGGCTATGTAGCAGTCTGGAGATTCCCCGGTTTGCTTGTGTAAAATTCTAACCAAAATTCTTTAATTGTACACTTAGGCAACCG